TCTGCCGACGCACCGCCGCCCCCTCCTGGGCCCCCGCCCACGGCGCAAGCAGCCCTTCCTGGGCCCCTCCCCGCCGCGCCCTCCTCAGCCGGCCCCGGCGACTCCGGGGGCCACCCGGATCCATCCAGAGGCCCCGTCAAGGCCAGAACACCGGCCCCACCTTCGCCGGGGGCGCCCGTCATCGAAGAGCGGCGCACGCAGCTCGCCCGGGGCGTCGGGGGCATCTACAGCGCCCCCTGGTACATGGTCAAAAGCAGCGCTGCGTCGCGCCCCTGCCTCGGACCCGCCCCTGGAGCAGTCCCGCTGCAGTCGGACTGGATACGGCGTCTGCAGACATACGGCACGGAGCTCAGAAGAGTCTTCTTCACCGAGTTCTACGCGGACGTAGAGCTCCCGTGCGACGGCACCACGACGACCCGGCAGATCATCGCCAGCAAGACCACCTGCGCTCTGGTCGCGCAGGTCCCCCCCTGCTTCTCGCCTGGAGAGCACTGCAAAGATCTCCTGGATAAATATCAACTGCATGATCGGATCAGAGGCCAGCGAGAAGGCCAAAGCGAATACTACCTGCTCCTGTGGGACAAGGTGGGCCATGGAATGGACGGAACGCGACATGGCATCCAGCGCCCCCAATCCTTTCATGTTCTCTGAGACCTCACCAACGGTGGACTTCCTGGCTGAGATGACCCCTGTCTGGCCCCCAGCCCCTGGCGCCAAAGTCTCGGGCACTGACCGCAGCTGCCCGTAGCCCTGGCCCACTACGACGCCAAGAAACACGGGCCCTTCCACGACAGCGACGCCATCGTCAGGAAACTAATTCCTGGCCAACCCTACAACAGAGTCGACCGCACCACGAAGATGGCCCAATTCAACAAGGTCAATGCCGCGATCCGGGAATTCTTCTCGGCCGGGCGCGAGAGGGCAGCCCCGCGGGGCACCGCCCTCCCACCCGTCGTCTGGGCGCTCGTATTCCAACACGAGGATCACGACAACAAAACCAGCGCTTTGTCGGTGCCCGCGCAAGGCGCGGCAGCGGATCGACTGCTTGCGCAGGCCTCGGCCACCCTGGAACGCTTGATCGACGACCACGGCCAGCCCGGCGCCAGCGGACGAGCGGTCGAACCGCCCCTGACACTCCAGCAGGCTGACGAGTCACCCGGCTGCGTCTTTCAGCGACTGCTGCCTGTCCCGCGGGAGGATCACCGTAACCGCACCTGTGACCAGCACCGAACCAACGAAGGCCAGCGTCGCTGCGTGGTTGCGACCCAGAACTCACTCCTCACCCTGTGCCACGGGCCGCCTGGCACAGGTAAGACCAAGGTCGCGGCCTGCATCGCGGACGCCTACATGTCGCGCCTCGCCCCAGGATGGGACGCGGGGTGCCCCGCGGCACCGGCGGCTCCATGGACACCCTGGCTGAGCAGATCGGGGGGAACCTGACTCCGAACAGTAGCGACCTGTTCCCGCGCTCGGCCGTGCGCCTCGCGCACGAGGACAAGGTGAAGGGCAACACTGCCAGGAAGATCACCCCCGTCGCTAAGTACGCCGCAGCGTACAACATCCTGGAAAGCGAGGTCGCAACCACGGATCACGCGCATTGGTTCCATAAGTTCCGGACCGAGATCGCAGCCGAGGCGAAGCTCATCCTGGCCACGCACGAGGCGGGGGCCGACCTGTCTGACAAGAAGCTCCTCATCTGCCTCCTGGACGAAGCGGGTCAGACGTCCGAGCCCATGGCTCTCATGTCCCTGATCCACGCCGCCAGATGCGGGGCCAGAGTTGTCCTCTTCGGCGACGAACGGCAGCTATGCCCAACGGTCAAGTCCCAGCAGGCACTGCGCTGGGGCCTCGGCATCTCCCTCCTGGCCAAGTACATGTCAGCAGTAGGAGAGATCCCTGACTGCAACGTCACCCTGGAAGAGTGTTACCACATCCACCCTTCCCTGCTTGCTTGGCCCTCGATCACGTTCTACGGGGGCAGGCTGGTCTCGGCCATCCTGAACCCCATGCGGCGACGCCCCTGCGCCGAGGGATTTCATTGGCCACGCGCAGTGCCGCTGTCCGAAGAGGAGTACGACGCAGCGAAGAGCGAGGAGAGTGGATGCGGCCCCACCAACTCCCTGATCGACACCGCAGGCGGGTTCAGGAGCAAGGCGGCCTGCCCACCTGTCCCGAACACGGGAGATGGCAGCGCCGTCCTCGACCAGCACCGGTTCCTCCTAGCGCACGTCCCCTCACAAGAGGTCCAGTCCGAGCACCAGGACGGCTACGCCAACATCCACGGAGCGCGCGCCGTGGCAGCTCTGGGCAAGGCCCTCGTGCCCTGGGCGACACGCACCCGCAGCACTATCCTGGTGCTGTCGCCATAGAAGCTGAAACTTACCCCTGCGCTGGCCGGCAAGGCGGCGGAAGGAGGAGGAGGAGGAGGAAGAGGAGGAGGAGGAGGAGGAGTGGAAAAAGGAGGAGGAGGAAGAGGAGGAGGAGTGGAAGAAGGATGATGAGGAGGAGGAGGAGAAGGAGAAGGAGAGGGAGGAGGAGAAGGAGAGGGAGGAGAAGGACAAACTCCTCCCAAGACATCAGGCGTTGCTCGCGGGCGGCCCAGGCCGACGGACCCGAGGCGGGCGTGGGCGCGGCGGGCTCGCGGCGCTCTCAGAGCCGGGGGGGCTTCCGTTCCCTACCTGCCGACAGGAGGCCCTTCACAAAAAGTACTCGGATCAACCACGCCACGCCAGCCAACGGCCTGAACGAGCGCTTCGACGGGCTCATGGACCTGTTCCCGCACCTCCTGGAAAACGAGACCCTGCGCGTCACCACCATCGACTCCGCCCAGGGTCAAGAAGCATCCGTTGTCATACTGCTGACAACCCGGGCCAACTCAATGCACAACTGGGGCCACGTGGACGACCGGCACCGCATCAACGTGGGCCTGACACGCACACGGTGCAACCTCATCATGACCGCAGACGCGAGGATGTTCCGCACAGCCACCGACGCGGCCCTCCACCACCTAAGCACCTGGGCCCAGAAGGCGAGCCTTACTTTCGAGTTCCACCACAACTCGGACGGATCTCAGCGCCAGACCCTCGCGGACCCACGCGTCTTCCAGGATTACATCCCTGACGCCGCCAACCCAGAGGAGAAGGCTCGGCTGCAGGCGGACGCTGACCGCAAGCAGAAGAAGATGGAGGTGCTCAAGGCCCGGCAAGCCCAACAGACGGGCTTCTCGGCCCGCGCCGACCTACCCCTCCCTACGGACCACAGTTGGTCGGACCTGGAGGATGACGTTAACACGGCGGTCTTGCGACTCCTGTACTGCACTGCCTTCGGACCCTGCATTATTTCGTGCCTCGGACTGCACCCACACCAATTCGGCGTGGCGGACCAGCCCACGGACCCCAGCCTGCAGGACAGGAAAGGATGGAGCATGAACGGGTACCTCTTCTTCTGCTCAATGCTGGTGGGACTGGACGCCAGTAACCTGGTCTACATGGCAGTCTTCGCGACCATCATGTGGACCATCGGGCTCGGAGTCACCAGCAACGACAACGCCCAGGCCGTTGACTCCACCCTGATTCCACCAAGAAGGGAGCGGCGGGCCGCCGGCGCGGCACGCTGCATTGGAGACGAGGGCGCTTGTGCGCGAGCTTGCGCGGGCAGCTTCCGCGCCAGTGCCGGCGCCGACGACCCCGATTGTTTCTGCACCGCTCACACGGTGCAGTTACGGCAATGGTTGGGGGCCACCAGGGAGAGGGAGAGGAGGAGGAGGAGGGAAAGGAGGAGGAGGAGGAGGAAGAGGAGGAGGAAGAGGAGGAGGAGGAGGAGCGAGGAAGAGGAGGAGGAGGAGGAGGAGGAGGAGGAGGAGGAGGAGGAGGAGGAGGAGCGAGGAGGAGGAGGAGGAGGAGGAGGAGAGGAGGAGGAGGAGGAGGAGGAGGAGCAGCGAGGAGGAGGAGGAGGAGGAGGAGGAGGAGGATGAGGAGGAGGAGGAGGGCGCCCCCCGCGGCCGCAGGTCTTGACGTACGAGCACCTGATGGCGCACTTCAGGGCGTCGTACTGCGCCTGCGCTCGGCGGGGGCGCTCCCGCCACAGCCGCTCTCCGCACAGAACTGCCGCGGCCCTCTGCTGCGACGGCCACGCCTACGACGACTGCAGGAGGCCAGTCCACAGGAAGCCTCCCACGAGAGACCCAACCCTGAGACCTCGGGGCGTGCATCGGGAGCGTCACGCTCTCCACGGCAGCGCCCTCGAAACCCAGGAAGCCCAAGGCATACTGGAGGCAAGCAGGGTGCTTCTTGGCATGGGCCTCCACTGTGCACCGACGACTACGATCAAAATAACGGCTACGGATTTTGGACGAAAAGAAAGAGAGAGAGAGAGAGAGAGAGAGAGATACACGCATATAAAAGAAAAATAGCAGCAGCAACAACAACAACAACAAAAATCGGAAAATCGTCCCCCTGACTATTGTTTGACTATTGTTGAACATTCCTCCTGTAGAGGATCAAGCCCGACTTAAGTGTAGTCCTTCAGCCCAGCATCAGAGGGCGTCTCCTTGCTGGTCGGCAGGACAGGACGCAGCGATCCCGAAGGGCCCAGGAGCACAGACGCTGCTACCAGCTGCCCTCTCCCCTGTTCCCTCATCGTACTCGTCCTCGTCCTCGTCCTCCTCCTCCTCCTCCTCCTCCTCCTCCTCCTCCTCCTCTCACCCTCCTCTCCCTCTACCTCCGCCCAATTCCTCCTCCCCTCCTCCTCCTCCTCCCCTCCTCTGCTCCTCCTCCGCCTCGACCTTCCTCGTCATGCTCTGCTCCTGCTCCTCCTCCTCCTCCTTCCTCCTCCTCCTCGTCCTCCTCCCTCCTCTCTTCCTCCTCCTCCTCCTCCTCCTCCTCCTCCTCCTCCTCTTCCTCATCCTCCTCCCCCTCCTCTTCCCCCTCCTCCTCCTCCTCCTCCTCCTCCTCCTCCTCCTCCTCCTCCTCCTCCTCCTCCTCCTCCTCCTCCTCGTCCTTCTCCTTCTTCCCTGCCCGCCTGGCGCTCTGCATGGTGGAGCCCCCTTCCATTCAGTGGGGAGGCTGGCAATCCACTGGTAGCTGATGGTGTCCATCCCACTGTTAAGTCGGGCCTGTCCTCCTACAGAGAGTTGTTGGACGAAAAATGAAGAATGGCAAAAAAGCAGGCATGATCGAAACATACTCAAAAAATCGTCCACCTACCATTTTTTGCTATTTTTGAACACTCCTCCTGTAAAGGGACAGGCCCGACCTAATCCTACTGCGACCTCCTGCGGCAAGGAGGCCGCCACTGTAAAAAAAAACAACGCAACAGCAGCACGCTGATGACAACACCCAGCACCCAGAGCAGCGGGACGCCAACGCGCGGACCCCAAGCGACTGACAGTCGCAGCAGACGTGAAGCTGAGAGTGCGGGGGGCAAGGGAGGTGAGCGCGACTAACAGTCGCGAAGTCTGTGTGGGCAGAGCTAAGACAGACAGGGCGGTCAGCGTTGTGGAGAATGTCGCCGCAGTAACGTAGCTAGCAGTACGGTTCCCTGCAGCCAGGGCGAGGAGGACTCCTGAGATCCCAGGGCGGCGCCTAGGGCAAAATCAAGCCAGCGTTGCGACTCCTACCGAGACTGTGGAAGAACTATGGCTAGACACATCCAGGGCCTCGGAATGAAGACCAATACGATGCTGACATTCGGCCGGAGGCGTGGCTTCGTCGCTATGGTCGTCCTCCCCGAGGAGGCCTCCAACAGAACACCCTGCTCGCCCCAGATGCTTGACGAAGAGGTTCAAGTAGCTAGTGCCACTTTGAGTGCGGCCATACACGACTTTCAGCATGACCTTACCCAAGGTAAGCCACTGTGGAGCCTCGTCAGCGTCACTGCTCGAAACGTAGTGGTACCCTCCTCTCCTGGTTGCCAGTGCCCAAGACCCTGTGATGTTTATCTCTTGGAAGTAGATATCTGCGCAACTCCCGCCCATTCGAAGCGCGTCGGCCACCACACGAAGTAATGTGTGTTCAGGGCCCTGCCCGCGAGGGATATGTATCAACACATGCTGGCCCACTTTCATCAAGTCATACCGCTCGCCATACATATTTTGAAGGTGGGGATCTCCAGTGGCAGTCGCCGTGCCCGAGACACTGGGCGTCGGGCTGAGCGTCGGACTCGGCGTCGGACTCGGCGTCGGGCTGGGCGTCGGGCTGGACGTCGGACTCGGCGTCGGGCTCGGCGTCGGGCTGGGCGTCGGGCTGGACGTCGGACTGGGCGTGGGACTGGGCGTTGGACTGGGCGTCGGGCTGGGCGTTTGACTGTCCTCAAGTTGGAACGCGATCTCCCGAATATATGGTTGATAACCAGTTGCGGTTTGCGTGATCACCAGTCGAAGATGCTGCACTGGGGTGTCGTAATCGACGTCAAAGTCCTGCACGGTACTAATTCCCGCGGTCACTGATCCTAGCGAAGCAACAACAGAGTTGAATGTTCCGCCTTGTGCCGTTGACGTGTAAAGCACAGCCATTGTAACATCATGTGTCGTATCGCCCCAATTTTGGATTCGAATACCTTGCAGAGTGTACTCCGAGCCAAGATTAAACTCGATCCACCATGCGTTATGGTACCGAGGTACCCCCCCAGCATTCCACATTGTGTTTGTATTACCATCCATAGTGTTTGTCCCAACTTGAGTTGAATGAGCTGTTTCCCAATCGACGACCCAAGACGTGTCCTGGGACCACGCGACTGTCTCCATATCGCGGTTCGTGACGTTGAACTCCTGCTTGAGCTTGCCACTGCCCAGGCTTGCCGAGTTCATAAGGTCGTTCTTGTTGGACATGTCCTGGGTCATGGACACCACATGCAACGCGGCCCCTCCTCCAACTGAAGACAACAGCCAAACAACGGAAATCAGGAGAGAATGGGCCATTGTGCCGTAAAGGACTGACCCGCGATCACAGTGAAACGAGCTCGAATGTTCGGGTGTGTGTGTGTGTGTGTGCGTGTGTGTTCAGTTAGCGGCCGGCCGATCCACACAGATGCTCCAACCGGAGGAACAGCTACTTGAGGCAAGCGCTGCGGACCGCCGTACCATCGTCTCACGACGTGCAGGCGAAGCGCAATACGACAGGTTCGTGTTGTGACGACCTCAGCGCTGGTTCTGGACACCGCGTGGATCCTTCAGCCTTGAGATCAGCAGTGTTTCGATCGCCAGATCGTTCCATATTGGCCGATTCTGGGCCACACTGGCGGCATTAAACCTTGAACGCCCGCGTTTGAGAGGCGGAGAGTGATTTATCCATATCCACCGCCTGGGAAGCGACGTCCTGGTGACCCACCAGGCGGCGGATATGGAGATATGTCGACCCCCAGGGGCCGGAATAGAGAGCGTGATCCACCGCCGCTTTACCGTGGAAAATTCCCCCCCCTCTTCCTCTGGAACCCGGGGGTCCCCCCCCCCTCCGAAAATCCCCCCCCCTCCCTGCTGGACCCCCCCCCTTCCCCCGGCAAAACCCCCCCGTTAACCCTCCCCCCCTCCCCCCCTCCCCCCCTCACCCTCGAAAACCGGGGGGGGGTCACTACCGGTTCGAACCCCCCGCCCCCCCTCGAAAACCGGAGGGGGGTCAAGAATTTGTCGCACTGCGTGGGGAAGCTATTGACGCGAGCAACTGGCCCCACAGACTCCATCAGAGGCCTGCACCAAGTCACAACCGAAAACCGCTCACATCCACCACTTGAAAAGCATTCAGGTCCAGAGGCCCAAAGACGAGGATGATACATTTACCGAAGTGCAGCTCCAGCCCAATAGCCTCAGCGAGCAATCACAGCTTACCGAAGGTCAGGCCCAGATCGGTTTAAAAAGTTGTCCCGATGGATTATAAGGTCGCAAACATAACCTGAAAAGCTGAGCCTGACGGGACCTGTAGCAATTAGCAAACGGTATTCTGGGTCATGAGGAGGATAAAGGTGATGATGATGATGATGATTTGTTTTCATTTCATACCTTATCATCATGAGCACGCAGAGAAAAGACGATCAGCCCTCCAAAAAATGCAGAGGAGTGTGTCCTGTAGCGGTATGCTCCGTCGCCTTGCTGCACCTGCTGGGCAGGCTGGCGAGAACCGACATCAGACAGCTCCAACGCGAGGTGCGTCGCTCCGTACCGCGCCGCCAATTTGCCTGGGGAGGACATGGCAATAATTCATGAAGGGGGCCTTGTGCAAGAGCGGATCTCTTGCGCAACTGGCCCGTATCGTAGTACACGGAGGGACCAAAATCAAGCCGGCGTTGCGACTCCTACCGAGACTGTGGAAGAACTATGGCTAGACACGTCCAGGGCCTTGGAATGAAGACCAATACGATGCTGACATTCGGCCGGAGGCGTGGCTTCGTCGCTATGGTCGTCCTCCCCGAGGAGGCCTCCAACAGAACACCCTGCTCGCCCCAGATGCTTGACGAAGAGGTTCAAGTAGCTAGTGCCACTTTGCGTGCGGCCATGCACGACTTTCAGCATGACCTTACCCAAGGTAAGCCACTGTGGAGCCTCGTCAGCGTCACTGCTCGACACGTAGTGGTACCCTCCTCTCCTGGTTGCCAGTGCCCAAGACCCTGTGATGTTTATCTCTTGGAAGTAGATATCCGCGCAACTCCCGCCCATTCGAAGCGCCTCGGCCACCACGCGAAGTAATGTGTGTTCAGGGCCCTGCCCGCGAGGGATATGTATCAACACATGCTGGCCCACTTTCATCAAGTCATACCGCTCGCCATACATATTTTGAAGGTGGGGATCTCCAGTGGCAGTCGCCGTGCCCGAGACACTTGGCGTCGGGCTGGGCGTCGGACTCGGCGTCGGACTCGGCGTCGGGCTGGGCGTCGGGCTGGACGTCGGACTCGGCGTCGGGCTCGGCGTCGGGCTGGGCGTCGGGCTGGACGTCGGACTGGGCGTCGGGCTGGGCGTCGGGCTGGGCGTCGGGCTGGGCGTTTGACTGTCCTCAAGTTGGAACGCGATCTCCCGAATATATGGTTGATAACCAGTTGCGGTTTGCGTGATCACCAGTCGAAGATGCTGCACTGGAGTGTCGTAATCGACGTCAAAGTCCTGCACGGTACTAATTCCTGCGGTCACTGATCCTAGCGAAGCAACAACAGAGTTGAATGTTCCGCCTTGTGCCGTTGACGTGTAAAGCACAGCCTTTGTAACATCATGTGTCGTATCGCCCCAATTTTGGATTCGAATACCTTGCAGAATGTACTCCGAGCCAAGATTAAACTCGATCCACCATGCGTTATGGTACCGGGGTACCCCCCCAGCATTCCAAAATGTGTGTGTATTACCATCCATAGTGTTTGTCCCAACGTGAGTTGAATAAGCTGTTTCCCAATCGACGACCCAAGATGTGTCCTGGGACCACGCGACTGTCTCCATACCGCGGTTCGTGACGTTGAAGAACTCCTGCTTGAGACTGCCAGTGCCCAGGCTTGCCGAGTTCATAAGGTCGTTCTTGTTGGACATGTCCTGGGTCATGGACACCACATGCAACGCGGCCCCTCCTGCAACTGAAGACAACAGCCAAACAACGGTAATCAGGAGAGAATGGGCCATTGTGCCGGAAAAGACTGACCCGCAATCACGGAGAAACGAGCTCGAATGTTCGGGTGTGTGTGTGTGTGTGTGCGTGTGTTCAGTTAGCGGCCGGCCGATCCACACAGATGCTCCAGCCGGAGGAACAGCTGCTTGAGGCAAGCGCTGCGGACCGCCGTACCATCGTTCCACGACGCGCAGTCGAAGCGCAATACGACAATTTCGTGTCCTCAGCGCTGATTCTGGACACCGCGTGGATCCTTCAACCTTGAACGACTGGCGGTTCTTCGATCGCCTGATCGTTCCATATTGCAAACAAAAAAAAAAAACATAAACATAATTGTTTGGTGCCCTGCGCGGATTTCTTGGATTGGCGCTGGAGCCCCCTATGGCGAGCGGAACGCACCAGGGGCGGCGCCAGAGGAGCCGCTGGGGGGGCCAGACGCGGATCCAAGAAATCCGCGCGGAACGCTACCAGCTTATGTTTATGATATTTGTTCTTGAAATATTGGCCGATTCTGGGCCAGTGGCGGCTTTAGACCTTGAACGCCCGCGTTGGGGAAGCCGCCGCGTCGACGCAGGCACGGATGCAGTGAGCAGAGCACCGACGCGGCGGCGCACACACGAAGCGTCGGTGCAAGCAGAGCGGGCGGGCCCTGGAGAGCGACCCAAGACAGCCTCCAGAGCGCTCCAGAACGCTCTCAAGAGGAGGACAGGACAGGACATCCGCATAAGGGAGTCAACGTCAACAAACCAATACTGATGCCTTGCGCGCGTCTGGCAAAATCCCCTGCGATTTGGTTGTGCAACGGCCATGATTTCTCACTGGGGCCGGCAGGGGGCATACCCCGAAGCCTCAAAGGGTGAGCTCCAGGGTGGCACCGTGAGAGAAGCTCGCTACCTTGTGAGTACGAGTCCCTGCGGGTCAATGCCAATGCGGGGGGAACAGCTGTTGGTCCTTCCGCGTGCCCGTGGAATTGTGGACGCGCTGGGCTTCTTAGCTCAGGAGGAGGAGGAGGAGGAGGAGGAGGAGTTGAGGAGGAGGAGGAGGAGCCGGAGGAGCCGGAACGCTCTGCGAAGGCCGCGCCTGATGCGTCCTTCCGAGCCGCCAGCTCTCAGAGATCACCGATGTATCCCGATCCGAATTTAACGCCCTCCTTTCAGGAAGAGGGGCGGCGACGAAGATTATCGGGCACAAAATCTGGAGTCATGTTCGTGAGGCCCGCGAGCACTGCGTATCGTTTTGACATGGTCGACGGGGGTGGCAGCATATTGCCGGCTGCGCGCAGGGCTACCATCCGTGACAAAACACTATACAAGATGCACCTCGTGGCTCAATCTGGAACATGCGGGGACATCCCGCAATCACTGTCAAGTGGTTGTTGACAGGGGCGGCGGGGGTGGTGGCGCGTGGCTTGCTGTGCGCAGGCCCACCAGACACAATGATGGGCATTGGTTCTCGACAACAATGGTGGGACGCTGGGGCTCCAGGGGTGCCTGGCGCGTAGCGCGCCTGGCACGCGTGGCGCACCTCGCCCCAGCGTCACGCATATGGGCTCGGCTTTGGTTCCCAGTAGCTGCCCATCCAAAGACGACCGCTGAACATGCTCAGGCTCGGGTGATATTTATGTGCTGGGAGGGCAGGTAGGAGTGAGCTAGACGGCTTGCTATCTGGAGGGTGTCTTGGTCACAGTTCCCTATTATATATACACCACCTCCCCCCACCCGGCCGGCGACCAACCCGGAACCATGCCGACTCCATGCGGGCCCGCCCCCCACCATCCCTGTCAAGAAACTATACAAGCCGCACTCTGCCTCCACATGTGGAGCATGCGCGGCCAACCCGATGCGCCCCCTCCCCCACCATCCCCGCCAAAAAACAATGCAAAGTACACTTTGAGGCAAAGTCTTGAGTCATGCTCGTGAGGCCCACGAGCACTGTGCTTTATTTTCGACAGGGACGGCGGGGATGTCAGCATATTCCCTGCTGTGCGCAGGGCTACCATCCCTGACAACACACACAATACAAAATGCACCTCGCGGCTAAGTCTGGACCATGCGCGGCCACTCCGCGATCACTGTCAAGTGGTTGTTGACAGGGAAGGTGGAGGTGGTGGCGCGTGGCCTGCTGTGCGCAGGCCCACCAGACACAATGATGGATATTGGTTTTCGACAAGAATGGTGGGGGCCGACCACATGTTTATGCTGGTGCGCAGGCGCAACTGCCGTTCGACGAACGTGACGCACCTGGCGTGGCTGGAGTGTGCGGTGGGGGCCGACCACATGTTTCCCGATGCGTGCTGTCACGTGCGCAGGCGCAACTGCCGTACTCTGCACGTGCCCCGAACGTGACGCACCTGGCGTGGCTGGAGTGTGCGGTACACCTTGGGCACTCGGAGCACGTGGCGCATCTGGCGCACCAGGCGTGCCTGGCACGCTCGGGCCCCAGGGGTGCCTGGCGCGCGTGGCGCCCCTGGCACGCGTGGCGCACCTCGCCCCAGCGTCGCGCACCTGGGGTCGGCGTTGGTTCCCAGTAGCTGCCCATCCAAAGACGACCGCTGAACAATGCTCAGGCTCGGATGTTACTGATGTGTTAGGAGGGCGTGTGG